CGCATCGAAACGTGATCGCGGCCAATCAACCGGTGGCCCGAAAGAATTGGTGCGCAATTTGAGCACAGTGGGCATGCTCGAGCGTTGTCTGGAACTGCAAGTTCAATTGGAAACCGATTTGGAAGACTATGATTTGATTGATGAGCACTACCGGATGACTGATGCTTTGGTAAGTTTGCACCATTCACACAACTGGGTGCCTAAGAGTCCCAGGTGGCAGACTGTCTGATCTACAGTATGCAGATGGTATTGTGCTACTAAGTGAAGATCCAGGTAAGTTGCAAGCTTTTCTGGACAGCTTGAATGCCTGTGTTGCCATGTTCGGTATGCGTTTTGCACCTTCAAAGTGTAAAATGATACTACAAGACTGGGTTGGTCCAGCACCCAGCCCCAACCGAACTGGGGAAATAATAAAGGAATTAGACAAGTTTTGTTATTTAGGAAGCTATATCTCACCCGGTGCACGCATCACAGATGAAGTTTCGCTCGCATACAGAAGGTTCTTTTGACATTTACCAAATTGAGACATTTGTGGCATCTTCGTGACATCCGGCTGTCTGTGAAGGGTAGAGTATATGTCGCGGCAGTTCGACCAGTGCTGCTATATGGAACAGAAACTTGGCCATTTCCGCGGTACAGAAATCATGGTAATCGTTGGTTAGAGACAAGGGTGTCGTAACCGATGGTTAGTGACACTGAGTTATATGACTGGGTGTCGTAAACAGTGGTGTTCGTGAAGTTTCTCAATTTCTCTTCAACATTGATCCACTAAAATTCTAACTTTTCTCTTTGATCCTACTCTCAACCTTTTCTGTCTTTCTCCTCACGTTCATCCAAATTGGTAGCCAAAAGACAACAATCAAAACCGGCGCACGATAGTGTATGGTTAATGGTTGTACAAACTGAAATCATTCATGCACTTATTGCACAAAAGTGGATGGAGAAAGAGGATGACAGAGTGTCGGTTGTGTTCGAGTACTAAGTTGCTTGGATAAGGTAATGATCTTACTGCGATAACCGGTTCATAGATGGGCTAAGCCAAGTCAGCATGAAGGGAAGAGGTATTGAAATACTGTGAGGAACATTTTCGGAAGAGTCGGAGGATGAAACCGTAATCATGATCCTGCAGTTCAGTTCAGTTCAGTTTTCGCAACCAATAACATGCATTTTCATGCGCCGGTTTCGGTTGCTGTCTTTTGGCTGCCCATTTGGATAAAAAAAAGAGCAGAATTAAGATTGGAACGTAGAGATCTGAGTCAGCGAGAAGATAGAGAGAATTCATATAGACTGAGGTTGGAAGAATAATGCTTAGATGCACAAGCGCCACTTTTTGCAACACCCAGTCATATCACTCAGTGTCTCTAACCCTTGGTTACCATGATCTCGGGGTTCCTATCCACGGAGAATAACAGGATCAACGTGTCCACGTTTTCACTTGTCTCATTGGTTGCGTGAAACTAAAGGCCAATCCCGAGCAGCGGACCGATAATCAGCGCATCAGCGAACAATATAGACTGAACCGAAAAAGACCTTGCGTGACAGGTCTCTGGACGCTCCCCACATGAGTGTTTCGGTCGCGCTCCTGCGTTGGATCTACGCCCCACTGTCTTGTGGGTCAGACTTCGCGAGAAAATAGCTCCAGTTAAGGTTCCCTTAAGAAAAATCCCTTTTTCGTGAAATATGTCATGTCCCAGTCTTAGCATCTATGATCATGCGACTAAAAAGGCGATCAGAGTCCAGGTGTGTCACTGCAAAGCTCCCAGTAACTTCTGGGTCACACTGCACCATCAAAATAGGATGCTAGATGATATGGCTCACATCATTCATACAAAATTCTCATGAACCTTCATGAAACTAGCTTGTTCTCTCAAATGAGATAGCTAAAGTGCCGAAAAAATAAGAGAAATGTGACACCTGCAAACAGTCACTTGACCAGTCACGTGTACGGGATCTTCGAGGACGAACAGGTGAGAACAGAACGGTAGAAACACGTTAGGTTGAACTAATCGAAGTTGCCCTAAAATTGTAACGTGTTGTTCTGGGGTATGCATCATCTCGCAAGTTAGGATTACCACATTTGGTCAATACCTGTGGTAGGATTAGCAGTAAATAACTTCGTTTTTCAAAAGAAAAGACCATATTGCAATACTGCTAGATTGATTTCGCAGCATCTCAAAGTGGTGCGTACTGCAGAAAATACAAGGCTTTAGCATGGCAACAGACTAAAGAAAAATACATTAAAACAGACAAAACAAAGACGAGATGGGTGGTATACCGACCATTTCAACAGGGTTGACGGCATCCGTCGACTAGTGGCAGTCGCTTTAGCAAACCTCGACCATCTTGCAACTCGTAACTTGTAGGTAATCCGAAAAACGTTGTGCTTCTTCGGTCGATTTCGTGTTGCAGATGTCGAGCAATGACTGTCCAGTAACCTGATAACATCATCAACCTTTTACCGCTATCCCCCTTTCATTTTTTATCTGCTTTATTGTATTTTGCTTAATTTCGTTGTCATGCTAAAACCCCATATCAAAATTGCATTTTCTACAGTAGGTACCATGTAGAGATACAGCGAAATTGTCCTGAACCTAAAATTGTAGCGTATTCAAATATGGTCTTTTCTTTTGAAATTAATCTCGGGAAAGGCTTGCTTCAATCTTCTTGTTTGTCATATTTCACAAACCCGATTTGCTCCTGAATGGTGCAAATCCCTCACGAAATAATAGCAAAGACATGAGGTAAAGAGTAATCTGTTTCAAGTAAACAATTTACCAGATGTGTCGCACTCCATATCAGTCCAATACTGCATAGGAATATTGTGCAATTACGATGACGTCGGTCGCGATATTTCATAACGCCTTCATGATAAGCATCAAGAACTCTAATTTACCTCCTGAAG